ATTGTAGTTTGCGCTTTTTAACAGTAAGTATCAGCTCTTTCTCTTTCCGCACTCTCCGCAAAACCTCCACATTTGTTACTTTCTCTGTCCAGGGTATTCTTAATATTCTACGATACATCCACAACTCAAATGCTTCTATCTACATCTACTGTAGAGAAATACAGTATGGAGAGACAAATAAATAGTAACATTAATAGTACTAACAACGAAGTCCGTACTGCATTAATTAAAATGAACAAAGGGTAATCTCCACGACCTGGCAATATAGCTGTAGAGTTCCTTAAAGCAGGAGGTCCACTTCTAATAGAACGAATAATTTTTCTAATGAATCATCTGAATGGAAAACCGCTCACCAAGTGTCCATCTTTAAAAAGGGTAATCGAAAAGGCCCTAACTGCTACAGAGGATTAAGTGTCCTGCCTACTTTCGGAAGATTGTTTGGAAAGATAATAAATGGAACAATACAAGATAATGTAGGACATCACGTAAACTTACCACCTGTAAAGTGCGTGAAAAAAGAAAAGAAACGCTAATCTAAGAAACGACGATGCGAAATGTGACTACGAAGATCGGATAGAAAATCGCAATATTTTTGTGTTAAATGTAAAAAAAAAAACAATATGTATTCCGCATTTTATTATGACATGCAATAATTGCAAAAACGGATAAGCCGCAGATAATGCTAACGATTAATGTGATTTTGTTATTCATTTGTTAATTTAGAAATATAACGTTTTTTTTATAGTGTATTGTTTTATAGAATTTATTTAAGAAAATAAACATACAATTTTCAACATAATTTTGGAGATTGTTTTGAAGCTATTTTCTTGTGGCATTGTAAATTAATTACTATTTAACTGGGAATAAGCCACAATTAAAGATAAAAATACGTTTATTGACGTTTCAATTTCCACTTCGGAAATCGTTTGTATTTTGAGAACGGTTTCCGAAATGGAAATTGAAACGTCAATAAACGTATTTTTATCTTTAATTGTGGCTTATTCCCAGTTAAATAGTAATTAATTTATAATTTTGGAGCTACTGTACATCAGACTCAGTTGGGTCTACTGGACCCCACCAGACCTTAATTGCTAGAATTAAGTACGAGACTAACCCAGGGAATTATGTTCTAAAAATATTCTCTGCTGAAAATTTATTAAACGCTGTTTTTACATGTATTATATAAAATAGATTGTTGTGTCTGTTAATATTTTACACTATAGCACTAAATTTAAATTACTGTTAGACGGTATAAATGTAAAACCTTATAATATATAGAATAAATATTTATTTTTAAATAATCAGCAAATAGAAATAACAAGTTTATTATGTTAAAAACATTTTTAAACAGTTACCATGATAATGTACCCTTATCAGTAGCGTTACCACGTTAGCTGCTGAAGTAACAATGTTAATAAATGTTGCTAAACTGAGGCCATTTAGTGTAAAGCATCTAAAATGGATTGCACTTGCAGTAAGTTACGTCGAATTCTTTTTTCCACTGTAGATAAGAATTTTTTTGAGTATGTAGTAATATCGTTTTCGACAACTACTATCAATAATGAATAAAACAGTATATGTATCTTTAATATAATCAAAATTCTTACTAATTATTTATAATTTTGGGTGTTTGACCCATTTTTTATGATTTGGATCGCTATATCTTTAAATATGATGATATAGTTTTATGATATTGTATTTTGTTCAGATTAAACGGTATTGCCTAATGATTTCAATCAATGATCGAATGATTTAGCCGCTGGTGTGGCTAATTTAATTTGATTTATTTGGGATATTCGAAGATTATACTTCTTGTCTAGCCTTTTATTAACACTAACTAGTCTAGTCTAGTCTAGTCTGTTTTTGTTTTTATCGCCACAATACTTTTGTAGTAGTACATTTTCCATAATATAATATAAGCAGAAAGAAGTCTGTCTATTATCTGTAGTTCTAAAAAGAACACCCAGTCATACTGAATTTATAACAACTAGGTAAAAAAATAAATAAGACTTACTCATAATCAGTTTAATTTTATTACCTGAGACGATCGGTTTTGCTTTCTACAATTTGCAAAGCATCTTCAGGTCAGTCGGTATAAAGTAAATTAAATGCTGAAATTATAAAAAGCCCAAATTAGGGTGCTGTATAAAATAAAATAATATAAAATTAGAGTGATTATGCCAATATTACATGTCTGTATTTCTAATGTGAATAAATTGTTTAAGCAGACAAAATAAAACCCACAAATAGGTATAAAATACTATTGAATTTTAATAAATTGGTAAATTAAGAAAAAATTACTTACATTCTGGTACAAGAATTAATAATTAATGATTCTAAAACAATTAAGGACACTTATTGACAAGCAGAACACAAATAAAATGACAGTTAAACATTAAATTTAAAATGGGGGAACTTATTGGCACTACATCACTTAGTAGAAGAGGAACTGGAAAAACTGAGTTTTTTTGTTGTCTTTTAGACTTTTAGAGGTAAATTTGACAAGCTTATGTAGGTCAGTTCTCTGAAAAAACTACCTTAGGTTTCTTAGGTTTTAACTACCTAACTAGGATGATCTCCTGAGTGAAGGTTACAACTACTGCAGGTTTTCTGGGTAACTCCCTCCCGGTTACGCTACTGCCTGGTTTAGTGCTGAGTGTCCGGGCCGTGGAAGTGTAGTAGATTTTAGAAACAGACCCTCAGGGAATGTAATTGGTGACCCCTGACCTAGAGGACCGTTTCGTTTTCTACAATTTGCAAAGCATCTCAGATCAGTCGGTACAAAGTTAATTAAATGCTTTGTATCGACTGACCTGAAGATGCTTTGCAAATTGTAGACAGCGAAATTGGTCGTCTTGTTAGTAAAATTAAACTGATAAATAAGTAAGTCTTATTTATTTCTTTTGGACTCACACAGGCAACACATTCATGATTTATAACAACTAATTTCTAGCAACAAAAAACAATCAGTTGTTCAACCATAGCATTTGATCATCGTACAATACGTTGTAAAAAGCTACTTTAATCTGTGCATTATGCCTAGATTGTCTTCATGACGAATCAGGAAGGCCATACACAAAGAGCTAGAGGTACAAGACGTGTCAAGAACGGCTTCGCACCAACATCGTTTTTTGTTTCTACGGAACCACTTCACCCCCACAAACCCAATTATAAATCGATCATTTGGAGATCATGAATGGCTTATTGCAGAAGGATCAGAAGTTTTGGACTTACTTCATACCGTACTCGTTTGTCCTACCTCTCACATATAGCGTTGATTGAAATATTATAGAGGCCATATAGGGGAAATATTATCCAATATTTCAATCAACGCTCCATCAAAGTGATTGACTGGATTGGTCCAGAGACTAAACGGAATACCATTGTCGTTAGTGATCAATTCTAGTGATGTTTGGCTATTCTCAATGGCCATGCAAGTGTAAGAAGGCGATGTCATGAAAGACAAGTCCCTTGATAAGTTTCAATGGTGAGGTATATACCTTTCTGATGAAATTTATGTACCTCACCGTTGAAATTGTGGTATGGAGGGCTAATGCCTTTGGAAGCAGATCATGTATATTGTTAACCAGAGGCAACTGGCACATCGTTCATTACATCCAACAGTTGAATGACCCTCATGTTATGTCTTACATATGACGCTTCCTAACTTTTATAACAAGTTAACCCAGTTATATACAGCCAAAATTACGTTAGATCATTCTAAAGACAGTTAAGTCGATTTGTTACCTTGGCTCCTAGATTGCCCGAACTTTCACATATTAAATATGTCTGGGATATTATAATAAGAATATTACTCCGTTTACCTTAGTAAAATTTAAATAAATTGCAAATTGTATAATAAAAATTTACGAACTAATAAGTTGGCAAGGCAATTGGCCTGAAGTGTTTAGACGAAGACAATAATTTCATACCAGTAAGTTGTCTTCTGACAATTGTCTCGCCAATTGTCATCGTGAAAACGCGGCTTAAGGTAATAGATCTATACTTGCATATATTCGATTTTTACCACTTCTAAGAAAAGGAATAATAATGGCTGTCTATAAGCATTCTGGAAATATCTTTGTCCAAGAAATCTTTAATTAGCAAAATCAGGACTTTCAACAAATTTTTTGGAAGATTTGAGAAATTTTTTAAGGATAGTTTATCAGTAATACAGGAAGATTTGCATTTGATACTATTGATTGTTTGGATTACTTCTTCTTCTTTAAGTTCCATCTTCTATCGAAGGTTGGAAATCATCATGGCTATGCGGATTCTGTTGAATGCCGCTCTAAAAAGTTCTGCACTACTACATTCAAACCATTCCCTTAAGTTCTTAAGCCAGGATATTCTTCGTCTTTGGATTACTACAGATTTATCAACTGTATAAAGAATAAATTCGAGACCTTTTTAGAACTAGAAAGACAGGATATGGGATCTAATTGTCGCAAAATAGTTGATGATATATCTTTACTCACATTAACGAAGTATTTATTTAGTTTTCAGAGCTTTCTAGACGATTTTGATAGTAAGTTTTTTTAGCTGTTTTGATAAGTTTTAGATAGGGTTCTCTGTACTTGGTGATATATTCAGTGATAGAGAGGTTGGTAAACAGCTTATTAGCAATTTTCTGCAGCGTAATCCTCCATAAGCGTTGTTTTGACAAAGATTTGGTGTTTTTATAGAATTTTAAAACTTATTCTATTTCATATGGAACGTAAAATTTTCCTATACTCTTTTGATCCTTCCCTTGATCCTTCTTTTCTAACATAGTTAATTATGAGCTTACATCGGCAATCGTTTCGTCCTTTGATGTTTCCAGAAAATGCAAAACGTAAAAAATAAAAGCAACAAAAGTAAATTCACAAATTACCTTCACGGTTAAACGATTTTCTTCTTCCTCGTTGATATATTAAATAAGCATTAACATAAACACATATACATAACATAACATACTATATTATTATCAGATAATATATACATAAATATTTTTGTTTTAGGTCGCCATTCTCACAATAATTGTATTAGGTATTGTCGCATTAACTCAACAAAGAAGTATTAAAGAAATAGAGCGACAGCCATTTGAACTAGATGACTTCTTAAATCACACATATTCAGCGCTTTCGTTTAATGGAACATGGATTTCAGGTAAGTAAATGACGGTTACGAAATTATTGTTTTCCATGAAATGGAATACACCAATACCACAGTTAAACTTCGACTATTAAATGACTTAATATCTAAAATTTCATCTGAAAATTGGTAAAAAGCTCTAAGATATATTATAGCAGAGGAAGGAAAATTCTGGAAACTCGATATGTTAGTAGCAGAAATAATAATGCCAATTATACTATCTTTGGGAAATGACCAATGTCTTGATACTAATGCTATCTAATGCAAAAAATTTCAATGGCTCGGTATAAGTGCAATAATACTTTTTTAAAAATTTGTAAAGGTTCAATGTGATTGACGTTACTCTAGTAAATAAAATGAGGGAAATAATATTATTGAAGCAATTTGGAAATATGATTAATTTATCTATGTTTAATTTGTTTATCAGCGCTCCCAACAACTGGCGGTTTTCGTAAGAAAAATATAATAAACAAATCTGATATTAGAAATGCAAATTGAGAAATATTTACTATACGTTTCTATAAGAACAATATTGGAAACATTGGAAACATTGGCAAATAAACCAAAGATAAAACATGTGCTCTGTACATTGATAAGGGAATTCCCAAATTTACTACTTTGAAAAAACCCAGTTCATTATACTTTACAGTGATAAGAATATATTATATTTAAAAACAAGAAATTATTTCTATTACACATCATTAAGCAGCTACTTAATTGTATTTCATACTGTATAACATACAGAACAAAAAATTATGAATCAAGGTTCAGAACCGACATATCAACGGCTGAAATTTACCATGCATCTACCAAGAAAATGAAAAAAACAAAGCACCAGGAGAAGATGGAGTAGTGGCGGATGCGCTAAAAATCGGAGGCTCTGCTCTCATCAGGACAATCAAGTAGCTCTTCAATATATGCTTAGAAAACCAAGCAATACCAGCTGAATGGAATAATTCTATAACGCTCCTCATGCATAAGAAAGGAGATCAAACAGACCTCGAAAACTATAGGCCAATCAGTCTTCTAAGTCACCTGTATAAATTATTTGCTCGAATTATCACTGCCAGAATTGAGAACAAACTAGAAACATGCCAACCAAGAGAACAGGCAGGTTTCCGCCCTGGGTATGGTACAAATGACCATCTAACTTATCTAAAGGCCCTAATTGAAAAAACTATAGAGTACAACCGGCCACTAGTTCTAGTATTTGTTGACTATAAAAAAGCCTTTGACACTATCGAGATGGTAGCTATCTTAAGAGCTTTGAGAGATTGTAGAATCGATTACCGATATACCAGCATTATTCAACATATATATGCAAATGCCACAACAGCAATAAACCTCCACACCCCTACTCAAAAAATAAAACTAAAAAGGGGAGTTAGACAAGGAGACAACATGTCACCAAAACTATTCAATGCCGTAATGCAGCATGCATTCCAGATGTTAGAATGGGAAAACAGAGGTTTGAGTGTCGATGGCGAAAGGCTGAACCACCTACGATTTGCAGATGACATAGTTCTAATAACCGACGACCTAAAGGAGGTCAACGAAGTGCTACAAGATTTACAACGAGTCTCCCAAAAAGTAGGGCTGGAAATAAACTTTGCGAAAACTAAAATGATGACCAACTTAGTACCTAGTGGACCATTGAAACTAGATAACTGGCATATTGAAACGGTTGACAAATACATATATCTGGGCCACGAAATACAAATAAGTAGAGACAACCAAACATGCGAATTATCTAGAAGAATAGCTTTAGGACGGGCAGCCTATGGCAAGCTAAAAGACGTGTTTAAGGAAAACATCCCAATAAAGCTAAAGAGAAAAGCATTTAACCAGTGCGTACTTCCGGTGCTCACTTATGGAGCTGAAACACTGACATGGACTAAAGCATCAATAAAAAAGTTACAAGTAGCACAACGAAAAATGAAAAGATCTATGCTTGGCGTAACTTTGAGAGACCGAATACGAAATGATGAGATACTTCGAAGAACTGGAGTGGAAGACGTCATAAAACGGATTACGAAGTTGAAGTGGAAATGGTCAGGACACGTCGCAAGACAGAGAGACAACAGATGGACAAAGAAGATTTTAGAATGGTGGCCAAGGGCAGACAAGCGAAATCGTGGAAGACCACCTACCAGATGGACGGACGACATTAAAAGAATAGTGACAAACTGGATCGCAGCTGCACAGGACAGAGAAGAGTGGAGACAAATTTGGCTGGCAAAAACAGTAGAAGGGAAAAAAAACGTAACATTAAAAAATAGTTTGAAGAATTTGTTTGATGGCCAAGATGCAGAGATATATTTATGAGGATTGGAAGTTATGGATTTCTGTAGGACAATACATAATAATGCCGGAAAACATGTAGCTGAGGTAGATGTTTTAAAGTGGCTAGAAGTAGATGAAGTTGACACTAGGTATAATATCATGACTGGAAATAAGATAGCAGATGGAAGTTATGAACCTAAAATTGAGATCAATCGCATCTCGACGATATAATAATTTATTGATTATTCATCAGATAACGAAGTTCTACTATGTTCTACTCATTTTCGTAATTTTAGAGAGTTGGTCATAAAAAACAGCAAATATCGAAAGTGCACACGAAACTGGACTCCTTTTTCAAAACAGGATTAAAGACAGCAATATCAACAGCAACGTCACTTCACGACGAATGTCCCAAGATATTTTTTTTATAATTATGTTTATTTACAATCTACACCAAAAAAGAGTATTAAGTAAATGTGATACCGGTTTTGCGCGTGAAATGGAGACATCCAATGATGTCTCACCTTTGTCTATTTTGGTTTAGTTCTGAAGAAGGTCTTGGGGCCAGGTTCTATGTAGTCTTATTGTGGCTGGTCCATTGTTGCATAATTCCCTTACTAGCTCATTTTCGTGGTGAATGGTACGTTCATTTTGTGACTCCGTGGCTTGATGGATTTCTTCTCTGATGAAAGGAACCTTTAAGTCATAGTGGAGTGTTTGGTTACTTACGTACCATGGCGCATCCACTATCGATCTTAGTACTTTAGACTGGAATCTTTGGATCATATGCAGCGACGATGGCTTTGCACAGATACATTTGCCGGAATTTTAAGTCGAGCTGCCTTCTTTTGGTCTGGATATGTTTCTTCCAAGTGAGATGTTGGTCAAGACAATTAAATAGAATTTTGTTTGTATTTTGTATTTTTTATACATATCTAAATACAGTGTACATACATATTTCACAAAAAAAGTTTTATTTATTTATTTTAAACATATTTTTATATAACGAACCCTTGGCTTTAACGGACACCCCCTTCCCCGAAGTAGTCAGTTATATTAAGGTTTTACTGTCTTCTAAAACGTAGGTACGCATATCAGATCAGCATATAATTCTAGGATTTTTTGTTGATTATGTGGGATCATAAAACCTTAATTAAATTAACCTTAATAATATATTTCATTGTTTTTAAATTCTGTTAGATAAACTTTGTTTTTAGATTCTGCTTTCATGTATAAAACATTCGAAAATGACATTTTGCTTTTTAATATGTCAACAAAGAGCATTGATCTATTTCTGGACCAAAAAGTACTGGTAAGGATACATTCTTAATATTATTCTACAACTATTTTCTTGTGACATGTTGAAGTAATTACTATTTTAATTAAAAGTTTTCAATTAAATTTTTTTATTTCACTTGAAACGTCTATAAACTTGTTTTAAACTTCAATTGTGGCTTATTCCCACTAAAAGATTAATTCTAATTTTAAATATTGTAAATTTTTGATAATAAAATGATAATGATTCTCATACCAAGATACACATGATGAGTTATAACTATTGGTATATAGAATAGAGTGACGTTATTTAGCTCAAAATCATGCTTCCAAAGGACCAAATATTACTTAATAAAATGTTGCTGTGGAAACAGAAAGAATATGTAAAATTTTAATTGTTTTCTGTTTCTTCTTCAATATTGATTCTCTTATTTAGGCACAATCATGTTAACCCTTTTCTAGAAGAAGTCATTTAAATAGGTTGGAGTCTAAGAAAGGAATTTCAAATACCAGTTTTTATGGGAGAGAATTATTTTTGCTCTAATAATCTAGTGCATTTTGGCATGTATTTTTCTATATCATAATAATACATCGTATTTTCTAATAAAAATCATTAAAAAGTTTTTTCTAAAAAATTTCCCCCTTATTTTAATTATAAGGAATCATCCAAGTGAAGCCCCTTCTTCTTCTTCTCGTGCCACTCCTAGCGGAGATTGGAAATCATCATGGCCACTGCGACTTTGTTAGCAGCGCGCCTAAAAAGTTCAATCGAACTACACCCGAACCATTCACGTAGATTACGAAGCCACGATATTTTTCTTCTTCCCACACTTCTTTTGCCCTTAATTTTGCCCTGCATGATGTTTCTTAAAAGTCCATACTTTTCACCTCTCACAATGTGCCCCAAGTATTCCATCTTTCTAGTTTTTATCTCATTTAGAATTTCGCATCTTTTGTCTAAAGTTTGGAGTACTTGCGTGTTAGTGACGCGGTCCATCCAAGATATTCTGAGAATGCGCCTATAGCACCACATCTTGAAAGCTTCGATGTTTTTATGATCAACTGTTTTAGTGTCCAAGCCTCAACTCCATATAACAGGGTCGAAAAGACATAACACCGCAGCATTCGTATTCGTAACTTTATATTGATATCACGATTGCAAAAGAGTTTGCGCATTCTATTAAAGACTGATCTAGCGATTTCTATTCTACATCTAATCTCTTTTGTTTGATCAGTATCGTCTGTGATCCAAGCACCTAGATATTTATAACAGGGCACACGCTCAATCGTTGTATTGTCTATTACAAGATTAGCTCGTGATGTTCTTTGATTTCGTGATTACCATAAATTTAGTTTTTTTCAAATTAATTTTCAAGCCGTAACTGTTACAGTATATATTGAGACTTTGAACGAGATGTTGTAGTTCTACTAGCGTTCCCGTTAGGAGAAATGTATCGTCAGCATACCTTATATTGTTGATCGTCTCACCATTTATTATCAGACCAAGATCTTCTTCCTCGAGTGCTTGTTCACAGATAGCTTCACTATACAGATTAAATGAAAGTGGCGATAAGATACATCTCTGCCGGACTCCTCGACGGATTTGAATTTCTTCTGTTAGTCTGCCCTCAACCTTGACATTTGCTGTTTGATTCCAATATAGATTGCATATAATTTGAATATCTCGGCTGTCTATATTTGTCTTTATTAGAACTTGTCTTAGTGGTTCATGTTGTATTTTGTCAAAGGCCTTTCCGAAATCAATATGTAGCAAATGTTAAAATAATAATTAAATAATATTTCTTGTCCAAAGATATACTTTTGTGCCGAGTATAATAACAATATATAAATATGTAGTGAAATTATTAGCAAAAAAATCAACAATTTAACACACTGTATCTTTATCCAGTAATATTTTATTACAGCATATTAATTCTAATGAGCATATTTTGTTCGAAATAACCTGAACCTAATATACGTTTTAATAGTTATAACTCATCATGTATATGCAATTGTTAATATTAATACATTTTTAACTCTATAATTTTTAGGCGGAATATCCAACAGCAGATTTAAGTTTGTCTCCGGATCGATCATATGTCTTGCTAAAGTACAATGTCTCTGCTGTAAGTATTTGGCGGTTCAAAATGTAATTTTTTTTGTGGCTTTAGCACTTAGCCAATTAAGTGTATATCTATACTAATAATTGCTAGTGCAAAAAGTATATCAATCTATTCGAGCCAAAAAAACCTCACAAAATCCCTATAACTGAATCAAACAAAAAGAAAAACTGATAGCAAAAGAAAACACATTCGGGAAAAACAGGGATACTCACTTCTCGTTCAGGGACCCATAAGGACATTTGTTTAAAACATTAATAGCAATAGGTCACGGAAAGAAAGGCAAATAACAATTTTTAACCCAATTATTAACACAGGTTAACGAGCTTAGTTAAAAGTGACTACAGACGCACATTTGCACTATATATAAATTTAATCAGACAATCATAGACTTTTTTATTATTAGTAGCCAATAGGTTATTTATTTCTTCTTCTTCTAATTCCATGACCGTTATCGTTTGTTGAATATCATGTTGGCTACCATATTCGCTATCGTGACTTTATTGACAGCAGCTCTAAATAACGATGTAGTTGATTTTCCATACCATTTACCTCCTCATTTCTAACTCTGTCGACCCAGCTTGAGGAAGCAGGATAACGAGCGTGGCCAAATCTCAATCATATTAAAATTGTTGTATATTTAAGGGTGGTATTGAAATTCTTAAACCATCTGGAATTAGGGATGTGTGGTTGTATATACACGTATTGTGTTGTTAAGTGGTCACAAAAAGTTTGCCAAGAAGTATTTCAACTATCTGTTTAATTTCTTTTAGAGATGAGAAAAGCGCCAGAAACACAAATTCTCTCATCTGGTAAAATTTCAGCTGAAAAAGTTATTGCAGCTTTAGCAATGTAATCAACATGATCATTATGTTTTATACCAACATGAGCTTTTACCCAAATAAAATTCCTAGTTTTATTTTTATTTTTAAGGTTAACTAGCATGTTCTTAATTTGGTAAATGAAAGGATTAGAATTATAATCGGGTAAATTTGTATTTTTGAGAGATAATAAGACTGACAATGAATCGTATATTATTAAAACTGCATTATTGTTTAAACTGTCGAAATATATCAATTCTTCAAGAATTGCAAGTGCTTCAGTACTAAAAATTGAGCAATTAAGATGTAGTTTGATAATTTTTTCTGTTGACTTGGATGAAATGTAGAAAACACATCCGGTCCCTTCCGATGTTTTAGATGCGTCTGTATAGATTACAGTTGCCTTGGGCAATTTTTATATAAGAATTTAAGATGCATGAATCTAATAATGGAGTATTATAATATGATGGTATGTGTATGTCAGCTTTATTAAAAAATGCGAAATAGTCGTCAATATCACGGTTGCTAATACTGGTGGTATACTTATTGCTACAAATGGCTCTGAAGGCCGTGCAAAGCGTTGGTGAAAATGGATCTGATGTAAGATTTGTATAGAAGCAAAGCTGTCACATCAGCACCCCACCAAGTTTTAGAAATTGATCTATTTTGCAAAAGTTAACCTTGTGCAATTTCTTGTAAAACACCTCACAAAATAAAATATGTTGTATTTGTGTCAACTACTTCAAGAAAAATCTTGACTTCTTTTGTAACATACGTTATGTCGGACAATTTCTTAAATTTATCTGTCATTCCATTCATCTCATATCTCATTTTAACAATTTATTTTATTATGCATGATCTTACAGTTCAATATCCGTTTCTTTGGTCTATGAGGCTCAATTTGTTTATTTCTGTATCCATTAGTTATCTTTTTCTTCTTCTATTTTCTTTCGGTGCCATATTGGCGACTAATTATCATAAATTTTGACTTAGAAACATTCATTTTTCATTCAGTTGTTCACTCATTTAAGTTTGATACGAAGGGATGAAAAAAAAAAGGTGTGGACCCTTTTAGCAGATTACGTAGAAAGAAGGTTTTTCATTTACTCAATAAATCGTTTTTGATCAGCAGTACAAATAATTACTTAATTGTTATTTTTTTAGGTGTTTCGACATTCAATAACTGCCCTATACACAATATATGATGTCGCTCAACAGTAAGTAAACTATTTATCAAGTTTAATAGCTTAAATAGTTTTTTAAATCATTAAAATCTGCTCTCCGCATTTTTTAACTTCCTGTAATTGATATTATTTTATGTCAAGTTATTCATCTTCTGGTTTAGTAAAGTAAGCGTTTTCTGATCAGTAGTGCTGGATCAAACGTAGTCGCAGAATTTGTGTGGGTTACCCTATGTTCGCTATTAACATCTTCTTCCCATTACTTTCATCAGAGGGTGTTGAAGGTTCTTCTGTAATTATTACAATGATTTGCTGATCATCATATATCTCGTGGTCGCTATCATGAGCTCGCACCCATTCTTCTACATCATCGTTATTCGCCTCTTCACAGCAAGGAATGTTTTGCACAAGATCCCTTAACAAATTGGTTTCTTCAGTCTCTAGATCTGGCATTTCTTCGTAAGTAAGTCTTGGTCAAATTTTGTTCCAGAAATTTCTTATAATTTGCTCATTCGCAAATTTCCAAGCCTCTGCTAACTAGTGAATGATGTTTTTGATATTTATTTGCTTGAGTTCTCCTAATATTGGCAGTAATTGATCTTCATTTTCATAAAAGGGTTAAAAGCCTATAAGGTTCCTTGTCCTAGAATGCCTTTCTCAAGTGATCTATTTTTGGATGTCCTTACACTTTATAGTCTTTAATGAAATAGATTGAGGAGGGAGAACTGTTTGTCTCAAGTTGGTCATTCAGAATTATGTCTGTGTTTTTTAATTTTAATAATTGTACCAATATTTATTGTATGTAATGTATTTTTTTATCAATTACAAACTGACAACAACTGTCAAAATAACAACAAACTGTCGATACACATAAAGCTAAAACAAAATTGTTTTTAGAAAATTTTATCATCTTGCCAATCAGAATCCATTGCAGTTAGTTGAGTTTGCTCCAGAGGGACATGGCTTAGTATATGTTTTCGAGAACAACATTTACTACATCGATGACTTTTCCAAGGACATTGAAAATCCCGTAGCTGTGACCGTTATAGGGATTCCAGGTGTTCTTTATTGTGGTGTACCTGATTGGGTTTATGAAGGTAACTATTATAAAAATCCTAAAACTTTTATAGATTAGATATAAGGTAAAAACAAGATAATTAATATGTTATAAGGTTTTTTACACTATTTCGATGATAAAAATAAATGACGATATGACGATATGAAGATGATCAGAAGTTTTTTAATATAATATTTGATTTTTAGAGGAAGTATTAGCTTCAGGTTCAGCGTTATGGTTTTCACCAGATGGCGCTTATTTAGCTTACGCCGTATTCAATGACGAACAGGTCTATAATTTGTCCTACACTATTTACGGAGAACCAGGATCACCAGGAAGTCAATATCCGCATGAAGCAGTTATCAGATATCCAAAAGTAAGTATAGTAAAGTTATCAACCATCCAAAAGTTTGTTAAAATCCGTTTGAACATTGTTAACAGCCTAGTTTTAATGGCATAGCTAATAATCCTCAACCAAATGCCATGAACTAGAGATGTAGGGTTTCAAAATTATTTAAAAAGTCATAGTAAAGACAGAAAAATTCTGAAAACTTATATATAAAATAATAGATCCAGTTTCTTAATAACAAATGTAGATAATGATATTGATAATAATATTGAAGCAGGCAATTGATGAAGAACGTTATTCTGGCTTAAACGCTTCTTGTATAAAAATGAACTAAGAGGATATAGATATTTACAACTTTTTTGCATTGATCAGTTCTTGTATAATGACCAATTTGCAATTACAACAAGTTGCAATATTCATGCAGAAAAACAGTTCTATCATACAGCAATGCAAGTAGTAATAAATATTTTAAACGTTTATTTTTGGACGCGACTATTTTCTTCTTTTTTCATTTGTTTATGATCTCATTTTATCTGTAAAAGTATTAAATAATTGATCTGCAGTGACTATAAAAGTTTTATTTTATTATTACAGTCTGGAACTCCGAATCCAATAGCCAGAATTTACTTGTACGATATAGTAAATAAGAACACAAAAGAAATTCAGATACCGCTTCATATAAGCAACGTCGAACCCAACGATTTTATATTTTATGGACTGACCTGGATCTCTGCTGAAGAATTATCTTTAGTTTGCACAAATCGAGTACAAAACAAAAGTTCCATTCTAAGGTGTTCAACAAACGGCAGCTGCAAAGAAGTAAGTAGATCTTTAAATTTTTTTATAGATTTCGATCTGGCAGGTCATTCTGTAAATTCTACGTTTAATGCCGCAAGTCCGGCCCTGTCGCCAGTTTGAAAACTGGTTGACTCAGACCCAAATATGTTTTTTCTTTCTGTATTTTGCAGGTTATATTTCCAATAATATTGTTTATGATAATGTAATTTTAAGTACTCACGTCGGTCTATATTGGTGAGCACTAGTGCTGCACTATACCTTTATGCACAGATGAAACAACAATTTTTGAAAGGTAAATTACCATTCAAAATAATTTTATTTTTAGACAACTTTAAACGTGCAACGTGGTATATTGTACCTTGCTCAGGACCGTACTTTCTACAATATTGTATTGTGGGTAATATTTATAAATTTTGTGGAGTTTTCCAAAACAAAGCAGCATAAATTTCATCATCATCATCATCAATGGTGCTACAACCCTATGAAAGAGCCTCGACCTTCCCAAGTCTATTACGCCAGGCAGTCCTATCCATTGCCAACCGTTGCCAGTTTGCTGCACCTATCTTTCTACCATCCTCATCTACACCATCCTTCCATCTGAGTTTTGGCCTACCCCTTTTTCTGCTTCCCACGGGTTGTGACATAAGGATTCTTCTAGGAGGGTTGTTCTGCTGTGATCTTGCTAGATGTCCTGCCCATCTTAATCTTCCTATTCTTATAAGAGATACTACGTCTTTACCACCAAATATTTGTTTATATCTGTGGTATACCTCGTAGTTGTATCTCCTTTTCCAAACACCATTTTCACAGATACCACCAAATATTCCTCTCAGGGTCCTTCGTTCAAATGCAGCATAAATTTATTTAAAAATAAAGGCAACAACATGACGTGTTTTTAAGGAGTCATATATGGTAATGGCCATTTTTTTGAACCTATTCTCTATCCTTCCATTGTTGGATATAGGTCTCCCCCAGTTCTCTCCATCTTTCCCTATCTTGAGCTGTTCTCTGCCATGTGGGACCTCCTTGTTTCCTGATGTCATCTTTCCACCTCATCTATGATCTGCCTCTTGAACTCTTTGCATTGTATGGACGCCACTTTCCGATGGCATTGTTCCATCGTCCGTCTTGGAGACGTTCATTGTGTCCAGCCCATTTCCATTTCAGTTCTGCTGCTTGTTCAATCGCGTCTACTGTTTTTGTTCTGGTCCTGATCCACTGGTTACGTTTTCTATCTTTAAGTGATATATCCAGCATTTGTCTCTCCATCGGTCTTTGTGCCTTCCTTATCCGATCCAAAATGGCCTGTGTAAATGTCCATGTTTGTGCTCCGTAGGTGAGCACCGGTATTATACAGGAGTTGTAGACCTTGCTTCGTAAGATTGTTTGATTTTTTAGAACGTAAGAAAATTTGCCGAACGCATAATGGCCATACCACACTTAATATATCAGTTCTTGTCCGATCACTGAAGTCAAGCAGTGTCGGATAAGGGATGAAGTTACTTGGTGGGTGATACTGTGAGCGCTTGGGAACACCACATGTCGTAGTTTTCTTTTAAAAATAAGTTTATTTTAAACTAAGATTGTGGCTTATTTCAATACAAATAGTAAATTCCTTCAAGGTGTTACCTAAAAGTAACTTTTAAACAATATTAAGTAACGATATCTTCTTCTCTTCAAGTGCCCTGACCGTTGCGAACGTTGGCTATTAACATGGCAATTCTGATCTTGTTTGCGGAGCTTCTGAATAGTTCGACCGATGTGAGCCCGAACCACTTCCGCAGATTTTGGAGCCACGAGCGTCTTCTCCTGCCTGGCCCTCGCTTACTGTCTATTTTCCCTGGACAATCAATTGCAGCAAACGGTACTTATCGTGTCTCAATATGTGGCCTAGATATTCAAGATTTCTTTCTCCTTTCCGATTCTTTGGAGCACCTCTATGTTAGTGACATGTTCGGTTCAGGATATACGAAGAATGCGTCAGTACACCCACATTTCGAATGCTTCTAGTTTTCTCGTGAGCGTCTCCGTCAACGTCCAGGCCTTCACGCTATACAGTAAAATCGGAAAAATGTAGCATTTAACTAGACGTAGTTTTAGGGGAAGAGACAAATCCTTGCTTATGAGGAGCTTTTTCATATTGCTAAATGCTGCTCTAGCTCGTTCTATTCTCGCCTTAATTTCTGTGGTCTGTTACCATTTTGCATTTACGTTGGTGCAAAGGTACACAAAAGATTTTACATGGTCAATTAGTATGTTACTTATCCGTAATTGTCGAGCAGGTTGTTGCTTTTTTGCTTATCAGCATCCAATTTGTCTTCTTGAAGTTGAGGCTCAGGCCGTATTCCTCACTTACTGATTAACTTGTTGTAATTCGTCTATGGTACTGTCAAGGATCACCGTGTCGTCGGCATATCTTATATTGTTCGTTAACTCGCCGTTTATTTTTATGTCCTCGTTTGCATTTTCCATACATTTGTTAAATATTTCCTTTGAATACTTATTGAATAGGAGTGGGGATAATATACACCCCTAACGGACACCTCTTTTGATCTGCATACTTTCAGTGAGTTCGTTGCCAATTTTTGCTCTTGCTGTTTGACCCCAGTATAAGTTTTCCACAATTCGAATGTAACGATATAAACGAATAAAACTGGAGCCGTTGGTTAGCGTTGTTTATTTTAAATCTCTATTGAAATTTAAAGTTTCTTTTTGTTAGATCTCTAGATCATAATCCAGTTCATATATTTTAGGAGAGTTCCCAAACAGAAATCATGGGCTGGATAACCCCAACTGTACCAATTTATAGTAAAAACGGCACTCAAAGACTGGAGGTACTACCTCAACCTGAAGGAGATGACAGATATGACCATCTGGTGCTCACTGACATTAAGACCAAAACATCAAAAAGGCTGACACATGGGAAATTTTCTGTCTTATCTATAATTGCCTGGAATGAAGACACAGGTCTAATGTAAGACGATTAGAAATATTATTTGCAACTTAAAATTTTGTCATTTTTAATAGCCTTAAATTTTTATTATTTTACACTATATTTAGACACTGTATATAATTTCATTCTTCTTTTAGTTATTATAGCGCCACTTCAGTCGATTGTCCATCTCAACAAAACTCGTACTCCGTGGATGAATCGGGAAATATCAGTTGTCTCACATGTTTCTTTACTATAGATGAAACACCTTGCAAGCTTGGTACCTTATTCTTTAGTACTGACTTATCTTACTACGTAAAAATGTGTCTGGGACCACAGGTACCTCTTGTAGGCATCGAAAATACCAAAGATGTAAGTAATATGTATTTGACTTATTTATTTATTAAATAAAAGTATGTAATTTGGAACTTATAATGAAAGAATATTAACCAAATACAAAAAATCTACATATAAACTCTTATTATTTATTTGTTCAGAAAGTTTGACAGTTAATATAATACTTATATATTATAAAATTTAAATTAAGTGTGATGGCTTCTTGTTTAATCATGCTCTTTGCCTACTAAATTGACTTACTATTTTGCTACATTCTTCCTTATTTCTTGCTTTTTCTCCTCACCCATCGATTCCCTCTTTTTTGAGATCTTCCTGTAAACTATCAAACCATCTCTTTCTGGGTTGTCCTTTTCTTCTTATTGTGATTAAACCCCGTTTTAGGCTCACCTTTAGCATCATCTTCCTTTTTATTTTCATCACGTACCCCATCCAGTTCACTCTTTGTGCCGTTATAAAGTGACTGATACTTGGTTGGTTATACAGTTCCTCTAGCTCTCTATTTGCTCGTCGAACCCAATATTCCACCGTGTTATTGCCTTCATATATACAACTGGTTCGTAAAAGCTGATACGGCTTTTAAAGCGTGTTTTGTAGAATATTGAGCAGTGTATTTTGAAGGATAAATACTATTATTAAAACTGTTACGGCCAAATCTTAAAATTTGTCAGATAACTTATTCTGTTCAACCTCAAAAAATGGCTCCACATGCTAGCAAAGAACTAAAAGCAAGAATTGCAAACGAAATTAGACGGTTGGTCACTATCTGTCCTGGAAAACCCTTTTAACGTAAGCAGAACAACATTTGTTAATATTAATAAAAGATGAAGAGAATAAAAAACTCTCCAAAGGAAAGCAGGTTTTTCAAGACCAAAAATATGTACCTTTCATGAAGATCGTACGCTTTAAGAGAGATTTTTTACAATGCTTTTAAAAGTTTCTGTTCTACTATCGAACCCTTAGTTAACGCAGCATTTTATTTTGGTTGAAGTATGCCGGTCCCTTGTTTTGATTTTCTTAATAATGAGGCGTTTGGTTTGGCTGATTCCTTTTATTATTTGATAAATCATTTCAAGGCTTTTGGTATCGTATATCACCCAGTTTCTGTACAGAGCCAAACTCCTCGTAAATAGAAGCATACTTTTCGCTCGAAATGATGGTATCAGTTTTTTTCAAGCGCTTCTCCACATGGCCAAAAGCTTTATCAGCTGGTAAAAAACTATGGCCACGAGTCGGAAAGGTTAGATGAGTTTTCTGTATATTCCCTGGAGCCTCATTTTTAAGCCAATAGCACATGAACAATTTGAGCATTTTTATTTTAGCCAGCGTAACCATCACAAAACAATAATACTGCAGAAAAAGACGAAATATTTTGTTGCCTTAAGTGATGGATGAGTGCAGATCCGTTTTCATTCACGTGTACAAAGTCCGCTCTTGAAACCAAATTGTGTCTCACCGCTTAGATCTTCCAGCTTTCTGAACATTCTTGTGTGAAGGATGCGAAGAAACACCTTAAGCAAATGGCTCATTAAACTTATCAGTCTGTGGTCATTGCATTTTGTTGCTCTTTGTGATTTAAGGATCATTATAAAGGTTGAATAAAGCCAGTCCGTTGGAATGTGGCCGGTGCTATATATCCGTCTTCAGGCGAGTCTCATGGTGTTTCTTGTATACAGATTGAATGAAATAAATTCTGTTCTAGGTGGTTGGCCAACAAAAGGTTGTCAAATAAATATACTATAAAAATCCAATACTTCAGCGGGCTGCTGGATTCTAAAATCATTCAAGAACAATTCAAAACTCTACCCAAAAAGGTTGCCCCGCCCATCACGTATAAAAATTGAAAGCTACACATAAATCTAAGCGAGAGCGCCCATCAAACTGGCGTGGCAAGTGGCAAGTAGCAAGTAGCACGCGTCTAGCACGTTACTTAAAATGTAACCAATGCAAACGAATGATTGGAATTAATGACGCCATTGTCATTTTGGTGTGCGCTGAATCATTCGTTATCATTGGTTACATTTTAAGTAACATGCTAGACGAGTGCTACTTGCTACTTGCCACTTGCCATGTCAGTTTGGTGGGCGCTCTCCCTAAGATTTTATTATGCTGTCAAACCACTTATCGCTTCCCATAGATGGATATTTTGAGCAGTGTTGCCAAAATAATTCCTCTAGGTATTTCTCAAATAAGTTGTTAATCATAAAATATTTACAGAAAAGAAAAATAATAACTAAAAACCATTAAGTTTATTTTTGTTATTAGTCTGTTGTAGTAGATTGGTAAATACAATGAAAAATATAAGCAAATATTCGATTTAATTAAATATACGAAGAAGATATAACTCTCAAAAAGATCCGCAAATCGGATTATTACACGGCGATTGGCAACATTGTTACGCAAACAACATTTTTGCGAGACAGATAGTTGAACGATATTTTATACAATGTCTATCGCCAGGTATGGATTTATTTTTGTCCAAGTTTTATATTGGTCCACTATTTCAAATGCAGTTCAAACAGACATATATTAAATTGTATGATCCGTTTTAAATTCGTTCAATCTGTATACTCGAAATTTCTTTGACCTTTTCATGCAGTCCAAAGCTGTCTCCCTTTTCTTGTAGTGATTCCAATTCTTCATAACGTTCTTTCATCCAGCTTTTCTTTGCATTTTTTAGTTCTCTGAATTTCCTTGTATTTTTGAAGATTCTGATGTATTTCGTACTGTCTGCGTTGCTCAATTTGATCAAGTATCTCTTCCATCATCCACTGTTTTTGTGATTTCTTTTTATTTTACTTGCAACTACTTCGTTAGCCTCGTAGCTATTTTTATTTTCTCACAGGTTTTCTCTAAGCAGTTTCCTTATATGTTTCTCAAGTTTTCGTTGAGAAAACACTTTCGGCTCATTTCTAACACATTCTCTATAATGTATTGGATAGTAGAGTCATCACATCAATTTTTTTGACATTTATATTGAACTAACAACTATTTTTTATTCCAGAGTGAGGACATTCTAATATGGGAAGATAACTTTATTCTAAGAATTGCTCTAGCCTATAAGTTACATCCAAAAGTTAGGGATTTGGTGGTACCAATAAACGAAGGATTCTCAGCTAGAGTGAGATTGTTATTGCCTCCCAATTTGGATGAATCTTCCAATAAAAAATACCCTACCATTATAGACACGTAAGCGTTTTATTAACTTTTTCTTATACATTTCAGGTGTTGTATATGTCCAGTACTTCTTTTTGTATGACGAGTTCTATGACTGTTTCGCCAATGCCACGATCTTTTGCCATTACCACGTTTACCTTGGTTTTTTCTTTGTGATTTTAATAATCACTTTCTTCTTCTTATGCTGCTTTATGTCTAATAATGTCTACATTTTAAAGTTATTTTATATATGATAATATTGTTGTTTCGATTTTGTTTAGCTTCTTGTATGTTCTGGCTAAGTTCAACTAACTTTTATGTTAGTTGCTCCAAGTTGGTGGCTCGCTCAAATTGATTTCTGGACAAATTGGTCTTTAGCATCCCCAAAAATAAAAATCTAGGGGTGTTAAGTCTGGTAATCGAGGGGTCATTTTATGGTATCTTGTGTACCAGTTCCACGTTCAGAAAAAATTAAATCTAAATAGTTTTCAACGGTCTGTGTACTATAGGACTTCGTTGAAATCCAATTTTGTATTAAGTTTATTTGAAGATGTCAAAGTGCAGGAATAATTTGCTTTCGTAGTAATTTAACAAAAACAGTATTATGTTCGTTAGTTGACTACATGACTTTTATTTTCAGTTATGGTGGTCCAGGGAATAACCAGATCAACGATGCTTACAATATACAATTTAAACATTATTTGGTTACAAAAAGAGAGTACATATATATTTACATAGACGGAAGAGGCAGCGGAAGGGATGGATACAATAAAATGTTTGATATGTACAGGAGATTTGGTACTGTGGAAGTGGAAGACCAAATTCAGGTTACGAAGTAAGTTTATTTATACTCAGTTTTTTACTTTGGAGAAAACTACGTCAAGATTCTTCAGATGCTAAGGACTTTTCTAAAATTATAAACGTTTTAACACAAAAAAATATTAAATTACACAAAAAAATAATTTTCCGCAAATCGCTAGGAAATTTTGACATTCCTGTCAAAATTTCTTGAAGAAAAAGTCAGGACTTCCTTACTGTAAGGAAATGTCATTTCCTTACTGTAAGGAAATGATATTTCCGTACAGTTGTTAGTGTTCTACATAAATGATAGAAAACACATTGCTTATAAGGAATTAATTTATATTTTGAAAACATCAAGTCATTGCTGAATACATTTTTAAGATCAATTTGTTATATTTACAGTAATTTGACAGTTAGTACAATTATTGAACATTGGAGGAACACTCTTAGAACTATGAGAAACATTTTGGACAACATGCAGGGTGGAAGTGTCATTTTGTTGAATATTTTGTACTGTGAAAATTTTATTTGCCACCTCAACCTTATTGTTAAGCGATTCTTCGATATATCCTTCAGCAACGTTTGATGACTTCCATCCGCCATGCCTCTTTAAACTAGTTATGTCGGCACCAGAGTCAACCAATATTGTTGCAGAAGACCGACGAAAGCAGTGACCAGTATATTCTGTCGGATTTACCAAGTTCAAATAAGTAGCAATTATTTTGGGCATTTTTCTAAATTGATGAATTCCTACCACTTGTCTACAACCGTTTCCGCTTTGATATTTAAAGAAAAATCGGTCACTGTTCATATTTTCTGGTCTTAACGAAACATACTTTCGATAAACATTCAAGTAGATCTGATTAATTACAAATGATCTTGGTTTGTTGGTTTTCGAATCAGATATGCTGATTAAAAGCTTAGATTCTAAGTCTTCTATATCGTGTACAGTCATTCGGACTAACTCATCCATTCTACAGGCCCCAGAAGATACCAAATATTACAGCCACCTAAAAAATAAATAAAGCTATAATCTAAATAGAAATTAAAACCTTGTAAATTACCTTAATCATTAAATTTTCTTTATCTGGAGCTTCCTGGATAAATTTTTCAATTTCTTCCTTCGTTAAAATCTTAGATTTCTTTGCCCTATAACCTTGAGCTTGCCGTTTCAATAAAGAACGAAGTTTTGAGTATGTAGATATATCTACATTGTGTTTAAGTGCAAGGGTTGACTTCAGCATTGAATAATTGGCCCATAATGTTGAAGATTTCATCTTTAAACAAAGGTCTAGGAAGTATGCCATTACAACATTTTCTGAGAAAGAACTCGTATTTTTACTCATGCGATAATCCATAAAACGTCTGTATGCATTTTCGTACTTTTCTCTTGATTTCTTTGGCAATAATTCTAATGAAGCAGTATTCACTGCCTCAACCAGCTCTGGAGGAGTCCCAGGAATGGAAATTTCATCATCACTTATCATTTTACTTTCGAGAACACCAGCAATTAAATTTATAAGCGTCAAGTTTGACAATTCAACCTCAATACGTTTCCATAGTAACCCAAGTAATTTTATTAGGAATTTCAAAGCACCATTTATTTGGGAATAAAATTATCGCGTTTTTTTTTAAATCAATCAATATCTGTCGAATTTTAAACGATTTGCGGAAAAATAGTATGTTTACCTCGTAGGAAAAGCCACATTCCTGGACTCTGTGTTGCTAAGTCTCGGCTTGCGCCTCGACTTAGCAATCTTCACAGTCGTCCAGGAATGTTAAGCTTTTCCTACCCGGTAAACAATGTACTATTGTTTAAAATTATCTATCTTTTTTTACTTAAATTCTTTTACTATCTATATTTTTTAATTAAAACCATTTTTTTTAACGGCATACACATTCTTAATATTGTTCTGAAGCTATTTTCTTGTGGCATTGTAAATTAATTACTATTAAACTGGGAATAAGCCACAATTAAAGATAAAAATACGTTTATTGACGTTTCAATTTCCACTTCGGAAATCGTTCTTAAAATACAAACAGTATTATAACAGTTTGGTACCAAAATTGATATTCTCAGCAAAATTTAGACTGTTTGTATTTTGAGAACGATTTCCGAAGTGGAAATTGAAACGTCAATAAACGTATTTTTATCTTTAATTGTGGCTTATTCCCAGTTTAATAGTAATTAATACACATTCTTGGTGAATCGATTTTTTTGCGTTTTTACCCCCCTACGAAGAGGATTATAGGAGGAAGCAGGCTGGCTAAAGTAGTAAACTCTTTTACATCTTTTTTGGGGTACCAAAATTGATATTCTCAGCAAAATTTAGCTTTTTCGAATGATTTTTAGACATCAAATCTATAAGGACTGGATTAATTGAACTAAATTCAATCAACTAAATAAAAAAAATTTCGTTTGGATACTCCACATCATGATATACCTGATTTTACTGTTTTTCTTAAAGTACTAGATTGTTATTGAATTTTTTAGGTACTTACAGGAGCACTTGCATTATATCGATGCCGAAAGAACAGGTATTTGGGGTTGGAGCTATGGAGGATTTTGCTCCAGCTGGGCCTTAGCTAAAGACAAGGATCATGTTTTCAAAGCAGCCTTATCAGTAGCTCCAGTTACAAGTTTTATTTATTATGGTAAATGTTCAGCAATATTTACATTTTTAAGATTTCCTCTCATTGTTAAAATAATTTTTGTTTGTTTATTAGTATGATTGATCAAATGAAGTTAATCTTATAATTGAGTAACGTTTTAGATTCTATATATACGGAAAGGTTTATGGGACTACCAACACCAGACGATAATGAACAAGGATACAACAACACTGATCTCACCAATGCAGTTGAAGCTTTCAGAGGAAGAAACTATTTTATAATACACGGAACTGGTGATGACAACGTCCACTATCAAAATTCCATGATGTTGGTCAAAGCGTTGGAACTGGCTGATATTGACTTCAGGCAACACGTTAGTACATTTAATATAATAAATATTTTTTATTTACAAATTCGCATTAACCCGAAGATTATTATCGAGGAGCAAATCTTTACAATATTAAATATTGGATATTTTCAAAATTAAAAGGCTTTAAGTAATTAAACATATTTGAGAAAACTGGATAGTCTATAATGATATGTTTCACCTAAAGCTTCACGTTACACTGTTATGACCTAATCTAAGTAGAGTGATTGTCAATTGATCTCTTCTTTTGGTGAGAAAACATGATCATCATCATTCTGACTTACAACTGTGCATAGAGGTCCTAGCTTTCTCAAGAATTTCTCTCCAGTTTTCCCTATCCATTGCCTTCCTCCACCAAGCACATATTTCCATATTTCTAATTTCTTCATCGATGTTATCAAGAAACCTTGTTCAAGGTCTTTTTCGTCGTCTCTGACCAATGCGTCTATCAAGGGGCGTTTTCTAGCTGGGTTATTTTGTTCCATCGGCATTATATGCTCTATCCACCTCAGACGATGTTTTACAATATCTGGTTGATTGTATATTTTATAAAGTTCAAAGTTGTGTCGTCTTCTTTACACTCCATTGTCATTCACTGCTCCATATATTCATCTTATTACTTTTCTTTCGAACTATTCTAACATGTTTTCATTACTTTTTGTTAGAGTTCAGGTCTCTGAACCATATGTTAAGACTGGGCGTATTATTGTTTTGTAGAGTTTTAATTTTGCATTAGTCGATATAATTGTGGATTTAAGGAGGAGATTGAGCCCAAAATAAGCGTAGTGTTGGTGTTGGCCGTGCAAATTCTGTAGTTTATTTCTGCGGTAGTATTACTTTCAGTGTTCATTTCAGGCTCTGTCGTTGTGGATTTGCTGGGCCCGTCGTTCGCCAGAAGTAATTTGTTGAAGAGTCTAGCGAACTTGAGTCTTCCAAATCTCCAGTGTGCGACCTTCAGTTATATTTGCGTTAGGGTGAATGTCGTGTTTCACCTTACCACAAAAATCATCCTAGGACAGACCTCCACGTGGGTCGAGCTGGAAATCCATATTAATTGGCTCAGAAATACAAGCACTTTTGAGAGCATATACTCTTATTTGACGAATAGTGATTGCTGATTGTACTGGGTGTACCCGATTGGTAGTGTGCGTCATATTCAATTTCTGGCCGGTTGCTGTGGGATCCTTGATTTCGCGCACCAGTACAGTTATTATCCTTTCGGGTTTTCGAACTCCTATAAGACTGTACACCCTTCCAGTCTCCTGGGAGCTTAGTTTTGGAAATAACGTAGATTAGAAATATATCTAAGTGGTGAGTAAGATTATTTCCTACTCATCCAGCTATTTCTCTAACAATTGATCATTTGCGTCTGTGGTACTAACTTCGCCACGCAGGCCGGTATGAACACTCACACACGAAGGCTACATTGACGAGGACTCAGATAAGATAATAACAATGTCTGTGGAATTTGTGAGCGCATATTCAAGTCCTACTCGTGTGCCGCGCTCATCATGATGACTACAACGGGTAGCTCGCGTGGAAGTACGAGAATCCCGGTAAGCTGGTGAGATTCACCGACGAGGATCTCATCCTGAAGCATTTAATGGACTTTTTCCTGATAATACTAAGGAGCAAATTTGGCGTGCTCGGACCAAGCCGGAATAGAAGGAATTCCTCGAAAGTCTCAAGAAGAAAAAGCGACGTAGGAATCGATCTCTAAGTCCCGTCGCTGAACCTTCTAACATCGACTTTTACGAACTATGCATCTTCGGAGTGAGAACACCTCCTCAGGGTGAATCGGCCATGCTTTTATCCCCTGGGCTCAACAACGCGGATCAGCATGTCCGCTGGTGTACAGAACCCCGAAGCTGGTGAGACTGTATGGCGATTACCTTTTACATCAATGATTATGTAACAAGCAAGAACGGATGGTCGGAAATGGAACAACATCTCTACATATATACTCAATACACGAATCCGAGTGACATCGTGAGGGCATCAGGTCTTTGCTAAACGAGTATTACAGCGCAGAATTCATTACTGTGAGTGCCGGGAAGCGAAAACAGCAGCCAATTTCTCAGAATAAAACTTCGAAAAAGTCGAAAGCTTATAACGCCCCGGCTATAGAGAATAGACACCATGAAAGGCTCAATGATACCGTTTTACCCAAGCTACATACGTACGATGGGTGACGAGTCCGCTCTTCTCTGTCGGCAACGAGAGGATTCGGCTGTTGCAACCAAGTGAGCTAGTTGGATACGTAGGTCGAAGATGTAGTGCATTAGGACAGACCAAAGTAGCCTTCAACGAGCTGCAGACACAGCTCGATCGTGTTCAACAAGCACAAAAACTGCTGGTCCTGAAGACATACGTGCTGCCGAAGTACATTGACAAGCTACAGAGTCCAACCATCACGATGAAAATGCTGAAGGACGTTGACAAGTCCGTGCGTATAGTTGTTTGGAAGATTCTGTCCTTCAATCGAACGTGTACCGACGACTTCGTTTACGCATCCACAAAAAAAAAGTGGCCAGGACGTCATGGCCATTACCAAGAACATCTTGGTTATCATGAAAAGGAGACTGACTAAATTGATCAACTGAGCTACTGATACGACGTCGTTAACCCTCAGTTTACCATACATGTCACGTTTCTGGGGGAAGATCTTAAAATGAACGCAAATATCGTCTGGCAGTTCAATGTCAATCGCACGTGAGTTGAGCCATAAGCTTGAGAGCGGATATAGTAAAAACGGACTTTGTCAGGGTTCTTCACACTCCAAGAGCTCTGCCTGGATAAGCAATCCACTACCCTACTGGTTGGGAAGAGATTTCATCAAGGCAATCCAACCGCGAGGGAATCTACTTCCAACTAGAGGCACCCTTCAAACCCACTACATCAACGTAGGTGCCGAAAGGAATGCGAACATAACGAGAGCCTTAGTAACGGTCTTCAATGTGCCCCGCAGTCCACTGGCACCACATCAAGAAACACGATCAGCTTGTTCCGTATCTTTGCAAAGCAAATTGAAAAGAAAGAGTGGGTATGCGAGACAGAGCCTAGAATAAGATGCTCCGACGGGACTCGGGGTAAGATACCTGACCTTGTCGAGCATCAGGATGAGCGGGTAATTGTAATTGTCTTCAGACCATGCAAACCCGATATCCTGGATAAACTATTTGCATGGCACCTCTAATCGTAGGAGCTCGCAAAACATGGTGTCAGTCAAATTCCCGTGTCCTGAGAATTTTTCACCTATCAGGGTTTGACGTTCGCAACTTCATTACGAAGGCAATTCAAGGTAGTATCCATATTCATAGTTATTTTATGAGGTCTTATAAGTGACTTATGGCAATTTTTACTTCGAGTGTAAGTACCGGTTTCTTCCTATCGAGGGATCTATGTTTAGTTAAGTTTTTACTCTATTAGGTACCGTTTTGTTCGTGAATCAAGTTGTTTCCTTGCATCTCCGAAATTGAGCATGTCTCTGTCTTCTTTGTACATATAATACCAGTTTTTGTGCCTGATAATATTTTTCTCTAAATACAAGTAACTGTAACTGTCACTTATTTTGTAATATTAATAATTTAATAATAATATGAAACTATTTTACAGAGTTATCCGGACGAAAACCATTCACTAGGGCACGTCTCCAGGCACCTGTACCATATGATGGATAAATATTGGGCTGAACAATTCGGTGTCACAAACCCAACTGCCGATGCGTGGTCTGCAAAAGGAGCGAATGTATTATAATTTATTTATATTTTGTAAAAAACCAATAAAAGTATTTTTCTAAAATTTGATTTTTATTTGAATACCAGTACTAGGTCCCGCTCTAGCAAGGCATATTTTATCATGTAAAAAATGGTTGAAGTCAAATTGAAGATAGAAGAAATATAAGATTAGATATAGACAAGCCGAAGAAGAAGAGTTTTACAATAGACAAAAGAAAATTAAAGATGAAGCAGCTAAGCCGACCATTTGTACAAATACAACGACTCTATATCACAGAATAAATAGACATAATAAAGAACAAAAACGATATACTGGTTGCCGACATTTGTAAAAGTTCACAATTTTAAATGTTATATTTTTATGTACCTTTATTATATTTTTAATTACGTACAAAATTACAATTACAAAGCAAAATATAAAAACAAAATAATTTGGTTTTATTATTAATTTATTATTTTATATATTTGGTTATTTAATAATTGTGGCGCCATCTACCTTTCGTACAAATAATTTTCGAATGTATTATGAGACTACCGATTCGCTAAAATCGACCTAAATACTATAAAAATGCATCTGCAAATATCTATTAAAATGTAAGTTAACGCTGGATAAACAATAGAGCATCAACACCATTCGTTATTCGTAAATTCACTTCGGGCACCGAGAAACTGAGCAAGTACAACCACTTGTCCGTCCCTCTATAAAATAGCTACGGTAAAGTTGTTACAGGTTTCTTTTCGCGAGTTGCACCGACATGTTGGTATTTTATTTTAAATTTGAAAATTAACCGAGTTCTTCACAGTAAAAAGACAATAATGTGTGATTGTTTCTGAATTATGCTAAATAATGCAATAAATGAATAAATTTGGTCGTTATAACGAATCGAAAAGTGTAATAAGTGTAGTATAATGGCGTTAATAATAGAAGCTTTCCATTTATTCATATCTACTCTTCTGATTTTCTGAAAGGTAAATGATTGAAATATTTGATTTTAGGCAACATTTTAACATTAAATTGTGTTTGTGGTTATTATCTCCATTATATTACTATTTATTGTTGAAAATGTTGATAAATATTATGATGCATCTTTACAAAATAACCATTTTTTTGTTCTTAGTGAATTTTTATTAAAATATATTTGTACTTATTTGTATTAAATTTCATTGCAAATATTACAGTATTTTGTAACATAGTAGGTACATCAGTCTAGCGAACGTCCGATTCTTGGAAATGCATTTGCCTCGATATAAATGCATCCTAAAAACATACACCTCGCTTTTTAAGTGCGATTTGCACACAATTTTCAACAATAAAATAGATTTTAATGTAGAACTTTATAAAATAAGAGGAAGGTACAAAAATAAAAGCAAAACTATTTAACTTTACTAGCAGTTTTTAAGGAAAGTATTCCAAATTCACTTGATAAATTCCAAACCGTTGATAAAGGTTTATTTTGGATTGTTGAACATAATGCTAAAACACATTTTGCCCTAAATCCCATGTTATTTTCATCATCTGTGAAGCAATAGTGTCTAAAGGTATCGTTTCCTCTATACGGAAAGAAATCATACACTAGCCCTGATACTCCATAACGAACAAACATTTTGAAACCCCATTTGTTTGGTTTATTCTTCACATATTTTCTCAAGCCTTCCATTTTCCCCTTGTCTGGGATCATCATTTCATTCACTGAACATCTAAACTCTGATTTAATTGTGAGACAGTTTCTACGTGCACGATTTAACATAGGCCTGATTTTGAAATATCTATCATTATTCAACTACTCATGGTTATCAAAATGTACTCTGCGTCATATTGCTTGATACGTCTTTATTGACATTAAATTTGCAATAAGTTAGTAATAAGATATCATGAAATCGTGCATCTCATCTATATTTGTGTCTACACATTTGTGAAATGTTTGTGTCGAATATAGGTCAGTTTGCTCTACGATTAATTTAACAATACCTGGACTAAAACAAGGTTTTAAAATATAGCAAAGGTGTTTTTATATTTTGGTGTTTTATAAAATAACTACTTTGTTCTGTTGGTACCTCATATTCAAAATCATCAGTCGTCCATTTGAATGAACGCTCATCTTTTTTTCCCTGCCGTTTTATTAAAGAACTTGCTTGTTTTTGGACTACTGGAGAAAATTGTGGCACTACAGAGAGAGTAACTACTGCTAGTCTTTGTTTGCTGACTGAAGACTTTTTCAGAAGTTATATTTTGTTCAACATTATCTGTGTCTTCTGGGAATTCTTTCACAAAATTACGAAATATCTGTTGTTCGTCATCACTACTACTTCCTGGGTCACTTTCAGCACCAACTAAAGGCAAAAGAACCATTATTTCTCTTCATTAATTCTCTTTTTTTAGTCTGAAAAAAAAATGTTAAATAAGCCATATCGGAAGGTGTATACTATCTATCTAACTTTGGGAACTTTTTGCTAGATTGGTTCACAGCAGTATAGTACAATTATGATGTGCTGGATGGATAAGTAACATGTTGAGAGTTAGTAAGTCCAGAAATTCCTTCCCCTGTATCCTGCATATTGGATCTATGTTACCTGATTACGGCCTTCGTACATGAACAGGTTCATTAGTAATCAAACAAATTAATTAACCTTATGTTGATATTTCTGGTCGTTGTTTGATAGTTGTTGATTAGGTATCAATGAAAAGATGATCTAACTTATAGAAAACTTGTCCAGAAATCACTTTTCTAAATTACTATTAAATCAAAACCATCTTTAACATTTTAAATTTTAACTAATGCAAAATGTTTGTATGTACTAACAAATCTCCTCTTTATTACAGCATCCAGTTCAGTGTCTCTAATACCGTGTCGGGTCGTTATTATCGGTAAAGGTAGGAGTATGTTTGTGTTGGAGATGTAATATAAATAAAAGTTTAAATAATATAAAACTAAATACAAAATTACTAATAAAATAATTTAGGATCAAATATTAAAATATTTATTAAAAGTAGGGATTCCACAGTGTAAGAGTTGGAGTGCGATTTTGATAACTGTGAGATAGGGTCACTGACAGTTTCTGGGTCAATAAGGGTAACTAATCTGTGAGTCTTTAGAGACTCTTGGGTAAGTTGTTCGAGGCTGATCCAGGTAATTCCAGAAACTTGTCTAAAAGACGAATTTTGATATGAAGAAGGAAGTGGAAATTAAGAAGAAAAATAAAAAAAAAGATCAATGAAAAGGAGGCAAAAAATGAAATCGCTAACATGCAAAAAGATAACATAATAACAGCAGCCCAAGCATTGAATAGGAACCATCAAAATTCTTCCTGTAGACAACTTAATAGATAACTAATAGAAACTGTTTTGTGATGGTGTGTGTCTATGCTAGAATGAGTTGGTCGCCGCCGGTATCAGAAGATGTCCGGAGTGATTCACGCAAACTATGGATGAAAGGATGCAGCAAAGTGCTAGATGATGAGCAACGGATGGTGATACTGACCACTGGAATAGAATGTATGGTTCTACGCGGATTTTTTTAAAGGTAAGTTTTAATAGTCTTTTTTTATTTGTGTTAACTTAGATGTGTTTGTTATCTTATTTAAAAATATTTAGATAAGCTTATCGTAAAAGCCATCTTAATACATGACTGGTTATCTTCATACACATGTATATTATACACAGTTTTAAGAATATTCTTTAATAGCTGACTAAAAAACAAACTTTATGTGACACATGACGATAATGCTATACAATCGACTCTGTACTAGATAATGACAATATATTTTGCTTCTTAGTTTTCAACAATGTTAAGCTTTATAGCATAACCACTAATACTTTTTCTGTCGATTTGATGGTTTGCTAAATCTGCATCAACATACTACAACGGCATGCTACGATGCGCATGGCACATACTGCGTATAACCCCATTTTTCATCCTCTTTTCAACCAGCCCTCGTACGTCATCCTACGTTAAGCCGTTTGACAGTTACGACCGGGGGTTGCGATTTTAGGGGTTGCGATTTAGCGGATGTGCCAGGAAATACGTAGCCTATCTATTGATACTATCTCCATGTCTTTGTTTCTACCTTACCTTTTTACCAATGTTCTTCAATGTAATTATTTTGAAATTTACTAAAATATAACACATAAAAACCTGGAGACCTTACGAAAGTAAACGACCAAGAGGAAGACCACAGATGAAATGGGTTGATGACATTAAAAGAATAGCCGGACATATTGGAAATATGTTGCTCATAATAGAGACCAGTGGAAGGAGTTGGTAGAGGCCTATGTCCAAACATGGACAACAGAAGGCTAAGAAGAAGAAGAAGATAACACACAAAAACCTAAATCTCGCCTAGAGCCTAACATCTCATATATCAAACAACCAATCCAACCCCTATAAAGTAACTTTAGATTTCCTAAATTTGATGTTTTCAAGAAAAGCACATTACTTTGGTTTTAACCGTAGAAAATTGCAGTACTGTTATTTTAGACATTATTTTTCCAGTAATTTACATAAGGAAGATGTTGAGGATATTGGTCTATAAGATTCCAGGTTTGACTTCTTTTTGTTAGGCTTCAAAAGAGAAGATTTAGGAAATTGTTTAGTAGAAATTAAAAAATTGAATATATCTAAGGGTAGATGCTTAGAAGCTAAAGGAAGATTAATTAAAAAATAATTTGGAATTTCATCTTGTACCTGGCTAGAGTATTTTAAGTCTTTGCAGTGCTTCGTTTAGCTCTTGCATACTTTTGCAACATTTAGCGGACTGATGGAATGATTTTTCTAATTAAGTTTGTACTTATTTACTTTATTTGTTTATGATCCATATATACTTTTTATACCAACTAATATTAATATTTTTCTTATATAAAAACATTACAATTATTTTAGTAAACATTTGATTACCATTTTTGTAGAGTATGACGTTGTTGATGATATAAGGTATCTAAAATAATTTATCAAAGGTTTCCTTTAGCACGAAAAATCATTAGTTATCTTGACAAGCTTCCGAATTTGGCTGCAGTTTCCGAAGTATTAGAGAAAAGGGCAAAAATATAGTTCCATAGATAATC